CTTGACTTCAGCTGTCAATGGAGTGACAGAAAGAAAATGCTGCAGTGAGTGATTCTCTGGACAGGTCTATCTGCAGGTCCAGCAAAGGAAAAGGATTAAAGAGCACAAGTCTACCACACACACGTCTTCTACACCAGCTGACCTTACTCTGGGTCAGACCAGGGGACATTGCTGAGGCTGCAAAGACAAATTTTTCACTGTCTCAGCTACAGTTGTTCATTAGAGAGAGTCTGTAGACTACATTAGTCTGTACAGCTATCACCAGGCCTCCTTTACAGACGTTAATCCCATTTAATTTTTCAAAAGGATGAAAATGCAGCAATGTCTCTGTCTTGGTCTTCTTAACCAAGGAAGATAATCAGAAAAAAAATAAATGCTGGAACCACTGTGAACTATTTGAACCATTTGTTCTCTCTGAAGACCGTCTTCAGAATCAAAAGCTGTAGGTATTTTTCTCTTTCTTTCTCACAAGACCCACAAAACACTCCAGCAAACAAAACCCAAGGCCTATACTCAAAAGATTATATTAAAAAAAGAAATAAAATCTAGATCTCACACAGGCCTAGACTCTGTGCCACTTTCTTTTAATTGTAAGAATAATTTCAATGCCAATAACATAAATGTTAACCACCCAAAACTATTACCTTTTATCTTAATTGGTAGTCTTTTTAATGTTTAAAAATCATTTAATCTCTTCCATAAGAAGTATGCTAAAGTAGAAGAGGAACTCAGAAAGCTGGAAATAGCTTATACTTTCATCATAAAAACAAAACTTTTTTTTTTTTTGTTGGAATCAATATTGAAATGAGATTCCTACCAGAAAATAGCTTTTTCAGGCACATTAAATATCCCTTGGTTCAGCAGAATATTTAATCCCCTTGGATCAGGCATTTGGATTTTCTTAGATCATGCTGAGATAACAGCATTCTGCTGTGTTCTGGCACCATAAAATCCTTGCTTATGAAAATAAAAGAAAAATATGGCCTCTCTGGGAACATACATCTCTGAATTACTTTTTTCCATAGTTTAAATATTGTAGTCTCAAAATCAATTTTTGCACAGATATACCACATTCTCTTTATGAGTCATGGCAAAAGCTCTCCCGCACCACTATTTTAAATGGGCCAAGTGTACATATACCCTTCAAAATGACGATCCTTTCACAATCTTGGCTCAGACTCCAGCTCATGCTGGGCAAGTGCCAACGAGTAACTGGAGTCAAACCCCTCCAACAGCACCATCTAGTGAAAAAAAAAAATAAACACATGCAAATTTAAACAGTTTTCACTGCATTCTGGAAACTAACAAAAGGCCAATTCTCTCCTAATCTCCCATTACAACTGCATTTAGGTATAGCTTTCATCAAGGCTCTTTGCCTTGTGAAGTGTGGTGACAAGCAGAGACAGATTCAACAGCTAATTGTAAGCTTTTTGTCTAAAAGTGGTATACCACTTGGAACACATATAAACTTTCCCTTGTTTATTTTTCCAATATTAAGCTTGCATTTTTCTTATTGTTATTAAAAATAGAAGCATTTTAAAATGCTTTAAAATTACTGACAACATCTTCTATTTCCTCCTCTGGTAGTGGGAGGTAATGTTATAAGACAAGCAGCTCCAGAATAAAAAGGAAACAATATATACAAATAATCTCAACCACTTTTTTAGCTCTTACTTTCATATACTTGTAATATCTTGTAAGGATATCTTATTGAAGCATGAAATTCTTATTCATGAAAATGGGCACACTCAGCTTCCATCTGTAACTTTAATGTGACCAGTCTCCCTGGTTTCAAAAAGACTATCTGCTCAAGTTGTGTAGGTGCTTAGATCTTTCACAGGATCAGGGTAAAATACTTTGGCTACAGGGAGGAAATAAAGCCGTATAGCTCTTAATTGTCAGTGTTTTCAAGGGTCTTGTTTGAATAGTTTTACCAGTCAGGAGGAATGGATTCTGTACTTTTCCCAACATGCATCTTCAATGCCATGCAACTCACAAGTGGTCTGTAGAAGCTATTCTGTGATAACAGTAGTTTGCAGATAACACACACGTGCTTTTACAGTGTGTGTACATTCCATCTCATTTTCAAGATCAATCAGATTTACAGTGCCTGTGCAGTAACCTCATCTAATCGGACTTGCTTCATGGGGCTGTTCAGCTCAGCATACCCCTATGCTAACTGAGCACTCATTTACTCATTTCCAGACATTTAGCATGATATAGTCATATCTTGCATTTCCAGACCTATGGGTGCCTGATCAAAGCCTCCCCCCCCTCCCCTCCCAAAATACAAGAAGGCCACAAATCCCAAATAGGCAAAATTTCAAAGCATGACACTGCACATTTGGTATCACTAACTACCTCAGTCTTATATTTGATGCACTACAAAGCATAATTCATTTAGAGAGAATTCTACACTACATAGGAATTTATGTCTAAATAAAAAGCAATCTGCTCTTGACAGAGCTTCAGTAATTTTCCCTTTGGAATGCAGATAGGGAAAGGTGGACTCAATTTTATAATCTTCAGAAGTCTCTAAGTGTTACTTTAATTATTTTAATCTCACACACACTCAGGCAGTGTAACTCAAGTTTCATGGAATAACTTGAGGTCTCATAAACCTCAAATTACACATGGCCAAAGGCTCCCTCCTTCTCACTGTCCCAGTTAAGCCCAAGCAGAAAAGCCTTCTTCAAGATTCCCATACTCCTTGTGGCAGGTTGTTGCTACACCACTGCTCCTTTGAGGTCTCTCTCCCTCAGTATTAGTTTTTAAATCAACTTGTTTGCCCTTCTTTGTCATTGTAGGTGAGCAAAGTTATCTACTTTCATTGTCTGGCTCCAAATTAAAACTATTATTGTGGTATAACTAAAAGTCCCTCTACAAACACAAAAGATAAATTAATTCCTACTACAAAGCAGTAGAAAGAGTGCTCTCCTAAGCTTTAATAAGTCTCCTTACATCACCATTTGGGTTGGAAGCTTGCACTGTGTTTTTTCATCCCTGTATGCTGTTACACTTTCTTTTACTTCTTTCTTTGCATTTTACAGTTTCTCTTCAACCAGTCATCTGTGATTAACTCCCCCCTTAAGAATTCAGTTACATCTAATTTTGACAGCTCATAATGATATAGTAGAGTGAAAGTAAAATCTTAAAATAAGAACAGAATAGGAAATTTTACTGGGTAGACACTAACAGGAACCAGATTCTGACATTTATATTTGTGTTGCAAGGTGCCACAACTCCTTTGAAAGTCCCACGAAAACTGGATAGAGCAGAGAGCATATTGGCCTATCTACTGCTTTGGACCAATGAACACTGTAATCCCCTTAAGTTTCTTGAAAATAACCACAGTTAATCCTTTAAGAAAACAATATCAGAATATGCCAATACTGAACAAACAAACAGCTGCTGAATTCCCAAGAAACCATAACAGCAGGAGTTCTATGTTAAAAATTAACCATAGTTTTTCTCATTATATGGAACAGGAAAACTGATCCATACTACTTAGAAAGCAAGATAATACAGAATAGTATGAACACCCAGTACATACTGGATATTACATAGATTGTATGTAATCCGGAAAACATTGCAAACATATTACAGTGAACATATTACACACGTGCAGACAATACATACTGCATACAGTATGAACACACAAAATTAGTTCCATGATTTCACGGGGGGTGGGGGGAAGAAACATCACTGGTTGTCACTAGAAGTCATTCCACTGAAACAACACACATGTAAAATATTGGGACATATTTCAAAGATGAGTGAGATATTATCACAAGTGAAATTCGTCACAGAAATTGGCAGAAGTATCCATAACTACTAGTTATGGATAGAAAAAACCACAACTAAAATCTGTACAAAAAGAAAACCCCAAACCACAAAACAAAAAACACCGGATGCAGAATTTCATATATAGACTCTCTTAGCTGGCAACTAATTATAATGTTACACCTAGGAGTTCAAATATCTTACAAGTTAGTTAAAAATAATATACCAGGCATGAAGGTACCTTACATAGAAACAGTGTGATTGACACTAAATTTAATATACTATATCCTTATTCTAACAGTATTCCTATTAGGTATAAAACTGTAGCATATTGGATAGATAAATAGATAAAATTTATTATAATTGATAGGGGGTTTAAGTGAACTTTTTCACATTAATAATGATATCATACATAACAATGATATTATTGGTGTGCTGCTACAACAACTATTTTGAACAAACATTTAAATTGCTAGTTAACTTTTTCTCAATATAGTGACAGTGTTTTCACAAGTAAAATCAAGGTCATTTATTTACAATTACAGAGAAATCAATGATTTAGCTGGGAGTACCCCACCACTGAGGTACAACAAATTTATAAATTTTTTTGTATGTTTAAAATCATGCCTCTCCAAAACTCAGGCTCTTCAATGAAATCTAAGCTGGCTGAACAGTAATACTCTTCGAACATACATGGAACATATATGTTGCAGCACTAGCGTACTATAAACTAAAGGTAACTATGTTTTCTCTACTGAAGGAAAAGTGCGTAAAACAGGTAGAGAAAGTTATCTTAACTCTGAAGTCAATGAAAATACATGAGTTTTCCACTTGTGAAAGCACCAACTAAAAGAAAGGACTTCCACTTACTTTTTGCCCCCCTATGGTCAGGTGTCTGGTCTTCAGTATGGCTGAAAAATGGATTAACCTGAGCAATATGACAGATTCAAGCTTAATTAGAACAGCCATGTGTGTTGGACACAACATAGATGCCCTCATTATAGGCCATATAGGGCAAGACTTAGTTTTTGCACGACCATGACTTTTGATGTTTCTGTGGCTTTACAGACTCATTAGGGAAAAGCAGAAAAGCTGAAGAGCCTCTTGTCAATTAAACTACAAGGAACATTGTGCTTGATATGGTATTAGCTCAGGAGATCAGAATTTGCACATTAAGAACAAAAATGCATCAATCACATTAATGTCCACATACATACCATCCAAAATAACGTCCCTGTAGCAAGAGCTGCATACTGTTCAATTGTAGAAAGCACGCTGAAAATAAGGCATATCAGCACAATAAGGAAGCTGTAAATAAAAAAAAAAAAATGTAATGTAGTCTAGTAAGAACCTAGAGGGAAGACAGATAATTATGCCATTACAAATTACCTGTACACACAGAAATGTTATTGGCATTGGATTATCTTAACACACAGCTGGTAACTTTTGAGTGATCCTGCTTCATATTGGATAGTTCATTTCTCTTCAGACACTGAGGTTTTGGGTTGGACATTATCAAATGAACCTGCACAATAATATTAGCTTTAGCCTACCTATAAGAATTGCTGCTTCCCAGCCCCTCAGGAAAACAACATTTCTTGTTCTTTCCCATTGTAAGGGCTTCTACAGCTGAATCACCACCACACAACCACCCCACACACAACCCTCGCAACATAATTCAAATATTTGCCTTTTTGCTGTTCCAAATTCTAACAAATTGCAAAGAGAAATCCCAATTAAGACAGAGCTCAACAGGCTCTGCCCACACTGTCTTTTATAACCAATCCCCAAAAGGCCCCAGATAAATGAAATCTGACATCTGAAACACAACCTAGGACCAATTCCATTTTTAAATAAAACAAAATTTCAGAAAAAACTATCAGAGAGTGGGAATATAAGGGTTTGTTCCCTGGTCCCTCCTGCCCAACTGAGTCCTTAGGGAGGGGGTCCTGGTTCCCAAAGTAAGACTCAGGACAGCCAGGGAGTTGCAGCAAACTCAGCCTAACTGCCTGTAGCCCCCAGAAAGCTTTTTCCCCCAGATGGGGAGCAAGGCTGCCCAGACCTGCAGCCTCGGCCTTCAAACCCCTTCCCTGAGCAGCTTCAGCTGTGCCCACCACACTGCAGGACTGCTGCTTGCTTTAGAGGAACATTTGGGAAGCAAAACATTTGAGACCCAAACTGGATGCTATCCACTACACACTAGGCATAGGCAGCTTCCAGTCCCCAAACTGTGTGTTTCTTTTTAAAACATGACATGAGCAATGAATAAGACTGAAAACATTCACTTATTAAAAACAGAGCTAGTTGTTAGGGATATTTTTCACAATCCTGTTGAGACAAGCAACACCAACCCTTTGTACTTGACAGAAACTTGCTGAAAAATCCAGTAACTAAATAATCTCCCCCATTACAGATCTCTAAAACCATTAATCCATTTTTTTTTCTCAGAAAAAAAACCAAAAAAGAATTGGCATAATGAATAAAACTGAACTCAAGAGGAGAAATATTAAAACACAACATCACTGGCTGCAAATTGGCATGGCTCAGCTGAAGTCACCCAGGCCTTTATCTTTTTTTTCACCTGAGTAAGAACTCCATTGGGTGAATCTTTCAAAAGGCCAAGCACTCAAGTAAAAAAAATGTGTCAAGGTTGACATTATAAGTTAGACTGTCCAATGATTGCTTCAAAATATGGTGCATGTGAGTCCAATTCACACATACACAAATTATATTGTAAACACATTACAAAATCATGGAGAGGAAGTCTGTAGGTAATTAGGTACAAAAATCAAATTAGTAAGTGATAATGAATTGAAGTTAATAGGATAGAGATTATCACACATCAACACACATATGAGAATATACTTTTACCTAGGCAAAGTATAAGTATGTGGGTGTTTCTGATTTATCTCCAAAATCTTCTCATTTTACCTTGTATCTCTAACTTTGGCCATTCTTAAATAGAAGTAAGGTGTGCTAACAAGGCAGGGGAATGCAAAGATGAGCCAGTCATTTGAAACATAACATAAATGTTCCCCAAGTGTCCAGCCCTTCTATCTGCAATATTCCCACGGTTGCTTAAGACCAATACACATGACAACATGAACATAAATGGGTTCAGTTACACAGAGGTAGCTGAGGGTCTCTGGATAAAAAGTCCAATATACACAGAAGTACCAGTTCGAAGCAAACAATGAGTTGCATGGGATGGCGTAAGCTGTCTGAATACATCTTGAGCAGTAACAATTTATACTTATTATATCCCTTAATAGTAGTAGACTTCTTAAAAGCATAACTCAGCCAGTGCATGACACAAGAGGGCACCAAAGCAAAGACTATCCATTTCTGTACTTTTCCTAAACAAACACAACAAAAGAGACCCTAATAAGGATTAAAGGTGAAAGTTTGTGTACTTAAGTGACAGGAGGATAAACTTAGGGTAAATCATTTGCCAAATCTCTTTACTTGTTACCATTAGAGAATTTGAAGGCTGACATAAGAACTGCATCAAGTGCCAGTCACCACACTACCTACTTTTATGGGTTTTATGCATGTGGATCCATTTCGGTTTACTAATTTTTTTTTCACCCCCAGAAAAACTCTTGAAATTTATTGTTGTGCTCCTTGCAGGCTGAAGCATGAGACACCTTCACACCCACACATACACATTATCCCAAGCAAAACAAAGATGTTCAGTGAGATATTGTTCCTGCTCATCTTTCTTGGGCATAAGGGAGAAGGTGCCCACAAGCCCCACTAGTACAGCCATGCCAGTGGAGCACCACAGTTAAACTACTAACTCTGTCACACTGGCATCACTATTTTGCTTCTGAGATAGATCAATCGCACATAAGGAACAGACAGTGCAAAATTAAGAGACAACACCCCCCACCCCTGCCCCCGGTCCTCCTCTGGCATCAGCCTGCTGTTCATTTCCTTCCAACACTCGGCTCTTACTCTGTTTTTGTTTCAGTACTAGTGGCTTCCTCCTCCACTTCTGAAGCGTAAGAAGGGAGTTAGGCACCAGGAAAATGGAAAACAGGAAAAGTTTGCCACTTTTTTTTCTTTTTTTTTTTTGACAGCTACCTCCCCTCTCTTCAGCGATAAGTGGAGCACAGTTTCTCAGTTACTGCCTACTTTCACTTGTTGACAGCAGACAAGTTCCCAGTAGATAAATAGTTACAAACAACAGTTGCAAGGACAGACTCTGCCTCAAACTTGAATTTGCTCTATGCAAAAATCATCCTGGGGAAATTTAACTGTCAAGCCTCAGAAAGCTTCCACTAGTCATGTGAGAGCTGTGGTTTTTTTCCCCAAGTATTTAGAGCGTAACTGAACTTGTGTGAATTTTCATAGGGAAAAAATCAAAGGTGCAACCCTGACAATGGAAGATAAAATGTCAAAGCCCACAAATCGGTTTATTTTTTCGAAGCAAACGCTACAATTTTCACATGCCCAAAATAACCTTATCACTCTTAATACCGCTTTACTGTCATCACTATTACTATATTTTCCAAAAAAAGTACTCACCTTGATACAGATGCTAAGCATGTAAACTGTTCATCCAACCAGTTAATATCAAACTAATGAGCAACTGAAACCAATGTTACAATAAGAAGCATTAGACAAATTACTAGTGGCCAGATGTATCAGCCCTACCCTAATCAACCACATAATTTCAGATAGCTAAGTTGAGAGCTTTGTTTCAGACAAACTAAGTCTCACCTGCATGTCAAAGCTCTGTTAATGGAAAGACACTGGACACCTTCAGGAAGCAATTTATACCCCATGTGAAACAAGTTACTGTGCAAAACGTTTAGTTAGTTCAACTGTTGAACAGATGAAGGCTCTAAACATGGACATTTAAATCAGGCAAACTGAATATGGGCTATCCACTGTACATGCTAATCCCAAAACACTTACTCGACTCCACAGAACCATCATTTACTCTTCACTGGGTTGTAGCCAAGCTGCTTTGCTTTAACATAACAGGTGAAAAAGCACGTTACTTAGTCAGCCTTGCTCCTCTGTCTCAGTAAAAAATTAAAAATACCTTAGTTCCCATATAATATCACTCAGGGACTTTAAGATCCAAGACAGATGAATGGTTTAACTAGTAGCATCGGCCACTCTGGAACACTGCTAAGCATACAGTCCCATGCTGATTTCACCAGTTGCATATGGGGTAGCAGACCAAACATCCACTATTGTATCTGCCTTAACAACTCCAGTATAATACCTTTTTCCTCTAAAGGAGGAACAGAGAGCAAAACACTTAAATTTCTTTAATTCTAGCAGTCAGAAAAGGCTTAGTCTCTTGGAAACCACCAATCTTTTATCTCCTGCAACCCGTTGCTTGTTTACCCTCTATGCACACATGTGACCATCTTCAAGAGAGGAAGCAGAGCCATGAGGAGTTCAGCTTTCATCAGCTCTGATCTAACTCTCAGATTGTGGGGCCAAGAAAGCATTAGAGACGAGGCGATAGTGTGTGAAATCTTTCATATTGCCTGTCCCAGGTTACAAAGTAGCATCTGCCTGCATGTAGATAAATCCCAGATACTGCATCAGTAAATGCTCTCAAAAATACTTAGCTTTATGGTTAACTTGTATCGAACAGTGCTATGTTTCTTTTAACACCAAGAATTTTGCAAGTGTTAAAGCAGTGTGGACAGGAATGCTTACAAAGCAGCAGAGGTTTTCTTTCACGGACTTCGTTTTCAGTAGACTATTACAAGGCGACCCGTTTCCTCTCAGACAGCCAGCACTGTTTTACTAGAAGCCAGTTTCTGTGGTTGCCTCTTCAACTCTGTTTTTACAGGCACTGCATACCTGGTGAAGTCATAGCCAGAAGTGGAGCTATCTCAGTGTGCACGAAAAGTCAGCATGCAACCCTCCAGTAACACTTTGAGCTCACATACATCCAAGCCTGTATATAGACTTGGGACGTCTCTCTATGCTATACTACCCATTAAAGAGAAAAGCACATACATAGACACAGGTGTATATAGAGTTACATGAGACAATGTGTGCACAGATGTGTGTATGTGGGCAAACATGTAATAAATAATAAAATTTGGCTTACTCCATGAAGTCATCCAGATGATTTAGATACTTTTTTGTCTCAAGCAGGTTTGAGAACTCAGAGCATTTCCAGGAAAGAATCACACAGCTGACAGGTAAACATGACCAGCTAGTATATGCCCTATATTTAGCAATATATAGGAAATATATAGGGACTATATTAAGGACTAAAGGTGGATTTAATGGTTTCTGACTATTCGAGGATGTATTTTGACTTTCAGAAC